TTGAGGATACATGTAATTCTATCATTTAATTCTTAAGTTAAGTTGAGGGGTTTTGATTAATTTTTATATTTTCATATACTTATATAAATGTCCTATTAATGGAACATTGTATTCTGTTGGGCAATAAATTTTATCTTATCTTATCTTATCTTTTATGTTTGAGGTTATGGTAGCGAGTGAGCGGACGTAGTCTTTATCGCTCTCCGTAATTGTTGTCAAATTACGTCGTTTATATTCTCACAAAATGACAAATACTCGTAATTCGAAAAAGGAAAACAATTCTAACGACCAGTTAGTGAAATTGAGTGATCTACGGCAAGTAGTGAGTGATGTCGTAAGACGCGAAACTGCAAAGTTTCTGAAAAAAATAGAAGATCTGGAGGATCAAATAAATCATCTGACAGAAATTAACAATAGGTTATTCGATTATGTCAGCGGCAATGGTATGAAAGACCGAGATAACCAAAATATTCAAGTTCAAGCATTAGACACCTCGACTGATTCAGAAGAGTTTTTTGATACCGAGGTGCCAAAAAATAGCGATAAAGATAATCGTAGCAAGGAAAAAATGAAGAAAACAAATCCGCCTACCAATTCAGATAAGGATACCGGAAGGACGAAAATTCAACCCATTCGTCCTAAACAAAACGTTATAAAGGGAACAGGTGGAAATGACAATGGGAATGATTCAGGAAAGCAGTCTCTGAAAGCACCCGATAGAAGAATCTGGCTATACGTTGGAGGTTGTGATCCCAAAACAAAAGAAGAAGATGTTGAAAAACACTTAACCGAAAATTGGCCTCACAATCAATTTGCGGTAACAAAACTGGATTCTAAAGGTACTAACGCTTCCTTTAAAGTTAGCACTCAATTTGACAATGAATTACTAACACAACTGTATGATCCCGGTAAGTGGCCAGAACGTATTATTGTTAAGCAGTACAGATTTTTTCGTAAGGCCGGAACTTTTAGAGAATAAAATAGGGAATCCTAATTATTTATTGTTAAATGTTAGAAGTTTAAGTGTAGATAAATGTAACGAATTAGAATTAATATTGAATGCATATAGCGGAAATATTAAATTTATCTGTCTAACTGAAACCTGGGCTACCGATACCTCAATTAGTAGTTTTAGTTTTAGTAATTACAGTCTAGTTTCTTATTACTGTAGGAAGTCTGTGATCGGAGGTGGCGTTGCTATTTGGTGTGCCAAAGGTCTAAACGTACAAGCTATCAAATTAGATCATTTTTGTATGGACAAAAATTTTGAAATCTGTGGAATTTCCTGCAAGTTAGACTCTAATAATACCTTATTATTGTTTAGTTGTTATCGATCTCCAACTGGAGATGTTAGTATGTTCTGTGACCAACTTTACAATGTGTTAAATTTGTGTTTTAAACCTAAGTTAAAAATTATATGCTGCGGTGATTTTAATATTGACGCAAAGGTAGATAGTAAAAATCTTAGATTGCTTAGCAGCGTGTTTACAAGTTTCAATCTTGGATTACACTTAACAAACCCTACACGGGTGAAGAATAATTCTGCATCTACCATAGACCTTCTCTATTCTAATCTATGGACGTTTGATAATAATTGGTCTGGTGTAAATGACAACAATATTTCTGACCATAGAACAATTTTGTATAATCTACCCGCTTTGCAATATAAACCGGTATCTCAAAAATTCTTTAAGCGGAACATTAATGACCAGGAAGCCATCGTGAATTTTTTAACGTCTCTTTCTCAAATGAATTGGAATGATTTCTACAAAATCGGGAATATAGATGACGCTTTTGAATATTTTATAAATACATTTCAGTATTATTTCGATATATACTTTCCTAAAAAATTATATTTTGAGAATGCTCTTCACAAAAATTGGGTAAATGATGACGTGAAGCTATCTAGCTTGAAACTTAAAGATCTTTACATTCACAAATGTAGAAATTTCGAGTTAAACGAAGTCTATAAAGAAGCAAAAAAAGATCACTTTCAACTTGTTGCATCAACAAAAAAAAAATATTTTCAAAACAAAATCTTTATGTCCAAAGATCCATCTAAAACGGCATGGCGTGTAATTGCACAAGCTTCTGGACGAGATAAGAAGGTGAATGACATTGAAATTGAAATAAATGGTATCCAGCTTACACAACCAAAATTAATTGCTAACGCATTTAATAATTTTTTCAAATATGCTCCAGAGAATGTTATTAATCAGATTCCATCCAAGCAAAACGATAATAAAAATCGAATAAATTTTCCATCATCAAAAGAAAGTTCAATTTATCTAACTCCATTTCACTCGCAAGAATTAGTTAACTTGTTATTGACAAAAATGAAAAACAAGAGCTCAGCAGGACTAGACGATATTCCTTTGTGTATTATAAAACATAGTATAACAACTATTGCCAATCAACTTACTTATTTAGTTAATTTGTCTTTCAGTTCAGGGAAATTTCCTAACTTACTCAAAACCAGCAAAGTAATACCTATATTTAAAAAAAATAGCCCCCAGCTGATGGAAAACTACAGACCCGTAACAATAACATCAGGATTTTCTAAAGTTTTTGAATACTGTTTTGTTCAGAGACTCCTAGGTTACATTAATAAGTTATCAATTTTATCAGATAGGCAACATGGGTTTCGTTTGGGACGATCCACGGCAACAGCATTACAAAAATATCATGAGAACTTATTAGAGTTTATTAATGAAGGCGAGTGCCCGGTTGGAGTATTTTGTGACCTCAGCAGGGCATTCGACTGCGTAAGTCATGAAAAATTATTTATTAAATTAGATCGGATTGGCATTCGTGGCAACGCTTTAGACTGGATAAAGACATACTTACATGACAGAAAACAATATGTTAGTATAACAAGCAAGAATAATCGTAATATTGTTACAGCAACTAATTCTAATATGCAAAATATTAATGTCGGCGTTCCACAAGGTTCGATTGTTGGACCAATTTTATTCGTGTTATATGTGAATGATTTAGATAGTATTGCGGGGGAAGGATCATTTACGATTTACGCAGATGACACATCAATCGTAATCTCAGACAAACAAAATGTCAGGATAGAAGAGAAGTCGCAGAGGGTACTGAATGAAGTTTCTAACTGGTTTTGTGATAATTCATTATTCTTGAATACAGATAAAACTCAGTGTGTTCGCTTCCACGTTCGACAAAAAAGATGCGAAAATATATCTTTGAAAGTAAATGGCACTGGAATTAATAATGTTGATGAGGTAAAATTTCTCGGAGTGATTTTTGACCATTGCTTTACATGGAACAGCCATTGTGAAAGTCTTATTTCTAAGCTATCAAAGTGTGTGTATATGTTTCGTACATTAAGATCTTATTTGTCGAAACCACAACTTTTATGTTTGTATTATGCACAGGTGGATTCTAGGATGAGGTATGGGATATGTCTGTGGGGCTGTTCAACTATGGCATCTGATGTTTTTGTAACACAAAAAAAAGTTTTAAGAACGATCTTTGGACTAAGGAAAACGGATACCTGTAGAAATATTTTTAGAAAATATAAAATTTTAACCTTGACATGCTTGATTATTTTTGAGATGGCGATTTATACTTATGCAAACAAAAATACAATACCAACTGTACGACAAACTCATAGTTATAACACAAGACAAATTAACAACCTTACCGTGCCGTGTACCAGATACAATATTTGTTTAAATTCTTTGCGCTATTTAGGTCCAAAAATTTTCAATAAATTGCCAACCAGGATTGGGACTTGCGAAACTGTTGCGAAGTTTAAGAAGGAACTTAAAATATTTCTAGTAGACAATGCGTTTTATAGTCTAGGAGAATTCTTTAATTGTGTTGTCTAATTATTATTTTGTGATGCGATTTGCGAGTGTATTGTTTTTTTTTTTGTACTTATTGACGTGTCCTATACAATGTAAATGTTGTCTTAAAGGAAATAAAGTATTATTATTATTATTATTATTATCTTATCTTTTCGTCCTTTTCCGTTCCTTTCGTCCTTTTTCGTACTTTTTTGTCCTTTTCGTCCTTTTCGTCCATACTTGTCCTATTCGTACTTTTCGTCCTTTTCGTCTGTTTTTGTCCTTTTCGTCTTTTTCGTCCTTTTTGGTTCTTTTTGTTCTTTTCGTCCTTTTCGTTGTTTTTTGTCCCTTTCGTCCTTTTTCGTCCTTTTTGGTCCTTTTCGTCCTTTACGTCCTTCTTGGAAAATGAAAGTCTTGACTTGTTTCTGCATTTTTTTTCAAAAACAAGTGCCGCACTTTTTATGAATTTTGTGCATTACTTTATCATAACCAAGTAATAATAAGAATAATAATACTTTATTACGGAATTTCTCCAATTTACACAAGATATAACTACACTATGTAAGCTATAGTAAGAAAAAATAAATAAAATATAAATATAAAAATAAAAAAAAAACTTATAAAAAAAACAATTATATACAACTTTTGTACTCACCAGATAATGCTTCAGTTAGCGATATTTTGCATCAGTAATACCTTGCTAGAAGGAAGCCAAGTAACACATTCCACCAATAAAACCTTTCTTTCTAAACATTCCATTTTATTATTAAAAATAAACTTTTGTTTCTTTTAAAAGTTTGTATAAACAGACAACTTTTGTTTATTTTTTTATTTTACATTTTTTTAAAAGGTTTTAACATATTTGTGCCAACACCACGTACTTATTTTTATCACCGAAAACCTCGCGACAATAACCAGATGCAGTTTCACCGAAAAAATTCCAGCACCGAACAAACGGAATCAGAAATTATGATCTTAAATTTTTGATTAAGGCTATTGGGAGAAAAAATCTTTCCACTAGAATGTCCCCACGTAATACTAAACCTTCGTTTGAACATTTTAATTTTAGCTTTTAAGTCTTTGATGAAAAATTAATTTCGTCTATAGAAAGACAATCTAAATAAATTATAACCCGACCCTTGTTATAAAAGTGTCGTCGCAACTAGGTCAAGCCCTATTACCAAAATGCCCTCAATCATACAACAGAGTTTCCCTGTAAATTTACAAGCAATGCGCTTCTTTTTTCTGTATCCTCCAGACAAATATAAAACTTTGTATCGCATTCATACATACATCGTGTACTTTTTATTCGTAGTACCAATTCCTGTTTTGCAGTGTCTTTACTTAGTTTTTCAAGAAGATCTTCATTTTACTCAGTTCGCCGACAGTGTTTTTCTATTGGCAGAAATGGTGTGTTTTGTGCTAAAATTGTATCCTTTTTTGAACAATGGCGAACGTATTAAAAAATGCATACACTACTTCGATTCTGCGATTTTTGAAGTTGAAAGAAACACAGATCAGGAGATTCTTCAACACTGTATCAACATGTGTCGACGTATATCAATGTTGTTTTTAGCTGCTGTCACCGGAGCTTTTATTAGTTGGTCCACCAGACCCATTTCTTGGAAAGATCACGTTTTTCCGACAAATGTGTGGTTGCCTTTTGATGTAAAGACTGCTCCAAAGTCCTACATTACTTATACATACATATACATTCTTATAGGTGAATAAATTTTGACACGTGATTGAAAACTATGTGTTTTTTTTTTCAGCGGCTGGATATGGTGCATATTCTAGTGGTTTAATTGATCCTTTAATAGCAGGACTTGCATATCAAGCTACGTGTCAAATAAAAATCCTTAAGCACACTTTACAATTTCTTGGTGAACAGGTTAAATACGAAGTTGCAGAAAATACGAAATTGGATACTCCAAGTGAGAACAAGTTGATGTATGAGAAAATTCGAAAATGTGTTATTCATCACAATCTTATACTAGAGTAAAATTTTCTCTGTTTTATCTATGTATTTTATTTTAGAGACAAGTATATTTTTCAGGTTTGTTAAAGAATACGAATATTGTTTTTCGCAAATTGCGTTCAGTCAGTTTGTAGCAGGCGTCGTTGTACTTTGTGTTTCCTGTTTGCAATTAACTTTGGTAAGTCTCAGAATTTTGAATATTCTTTTTAAAAAACGCCAATTGTGTTATACAGGTGGATTTGCTAAGTTTGGATTTTTTGGCGATGGTGATGTATCTTATCACTATGTTAACCGAAAGTTATTTATACTGTCATTTTGGAACCGTGTTATACGAAGAAGTGAGAAAATTGGAATCAAAATGAATATTATTAATTGTTTACTTTTTAGAGTAATACGATTACGGATGCCATTTATTTAGGTAAGTGGTACGAATACGACATAAGATGTCGCAAAGCGTTGATTGTTCTTATGGAACGTGCCAAAAAACCCATGATTATTACCTGTGGAAAAATTGTTGACATGTCTTTGGATACTTTCGCAACGGTAAACAAATAGTAGAGTAAAAGTATCGTAGTAAGAAGTATTTTTTAGATTTTAAGAAGATCTTATTCTTTGTTGGCGGTTTTGCAGAATTTTAACATAGAATTAAACTAACACTTGGATTACTTTTGCCTCGTAATGTTAATAGTTGTATAAGTAAAGTGTAGTTGTTTAGACAAGGCACAATTCTATGTAAGTGTATCTAAAGAAAATTCATGTTTGGAAAAATATATCGTGTAGTAGTAGTGTTTATTTTTTACCCTACGGGCTTAAAAAGATTCTTGACAGTACAATTTTTTTCCTTAGTTAATAAAAACCAAATAAATATATTTTATAAACTAATTAACTATTTTTTCTTTCCTTTACCCCATCCCCCCTTGCCACAGCCTTACTCTTGTCCTCTCCACTTCTTTCATCCATTCCAGCCCTCTTCCGTCTTCATTCAATATCTCTGTCACACTCTCCTCTCTTTCTTTGCTCTCCTCACAGTCATGCAGCATGTGCTCTATCGTCTCTCGCCCTTCTCCACACATCCTACACATTCTCTCACCTTCGCTTACCCAAAACTTATTATTTCTTTCTTCATTTCCACACCTAAATCTCGCATATAATTTTTTTTTCTTTCGTGCTTTCTCTGTCTAGGTACTTTGGTATTGTTTCTGTTATTATCTTTCTATAGTCTGCATTGTACCTAGAATCACTCGCTTTTCTCTCTTGTTTATCTATGTCTCTGTCACGCATACACAACTCTTCTCTCATACTCACCCCCATTTCTCTCTTTCTCTCTATTTCCATCCATGCGTATCCCAGTCTTTCATAATATCCTTGTCTACCCTTGTGATGTCCTTTCCTTGCTTCCTTTTTTTTCCTTCCAGCATTCATACAATATCCTACATTCCTCTCTTTCTTTCAACCTTTCATCATACTTTACAGTTCTTTTCCCAGTGTATACTCTTAGTTTCTCTCGTTTACATTCTTCTCTTACTATATAGCCTGGCGTCTCTTTCCGTAGCCCTAACATCCACCTCAAATATTTTTCTTGTACTGCTTCAATCTCTGCATATTCCTTCCATCCCCATATTTCCACTCCATACATTAATACACTCCTAACTAAACTATCAAACATTTTCATCCTTCTTCTTACGTCATGTCCAAATATTCTCTCACCTATACTCCACACCATTCCCATTATCTGCATTGCTTTGACCCTTCTTTCTCTTATGTGTGCTTTTACCGTGTTAGTTGTTGCAAACTTAAATCCTAAATATTTAAACTCCTTTACTGTGTCTATGATTCGATCTTCCCAACGCCACACTTTTTCCTCCCCTTTTGTCCCTTTTTTTCTAAATACCATCATTTTTGTTTTTTCTACATTTACCTCCAGTTTCTTTCTTTTAAAGTATCTTTGCAGATTTTTTTTCATCTGATTCATTCCACATTCATCCTTCGCCAATGTTACCAAATCATCTGCAAATGCCAAACACCATACCTTTTCTCTCCCCACCACAATTCCTCCCGCTTGTACTCCTCTAAACATTTCCTCGATATCGCTTTTGTAACAAGCAAACAGACTGGGACTTGATGGGAACCCCTGTCTCAATCCTTTCGTCGTCCAAAACATTTCGCTTTCTATTCCTCGCACTCTCACACTAGTCACTGTCTCTCTATAAATCTCTCTTGCTGCTACAATTAACTTTTCACTCAGTCCTCTTCTTTCCATGCATTCCCACAAACACTCTCTGTCCACCGTATCAAATGCGGTTTTTAGGTCTCCAAACAGTGCATATACCCGACCTCCTTCCTTCAGCAACTCTGTTTCTATTAGATGATGCAGGATATATACATTGTCCATAGCCCCTCTACCTCTTCTAAATCCCGCTTGACTTTCTGGTAATATACTCTTTTCGTTCATCTCTGTCACCAACCTTTCATTTAACACCATTGCGTACAGTTTATATGCCGTATTTAGAAGAGTTATTCCCCGATAATTCTCTACTTTTTCTTTACTACTCTTTTTATGAATTGGGCATATTTGTCCTACTCTCCATTCCATGGGAAAACTTTTACCCGTCCACACATCATTCATTAACTCGCTCAAATGTTCAATCATCCCATCCGTCCCAAATATCCACACTTCGTTTACCAACCCATCCTTCCCCGGTGCTTTTACCCTTTTCAGTCTTCCTACTTGTTTTCCTACTTCCTCTACTCGAATCTTCGCTTCCCTTTCTCTACCACCAATCCCGGTTTTACTATCTTGCACTACAATTCTCTCTTCCTTTCCATTCAACAGTTTCAAAAAATGCTTCTTCCACTGTATTATAGGTATGTCTTCACTAATCGTGATTTTGTTCTTCCGTTCTTTATTTATATACTGCCATACCTCTTGCTCAGTTCTTATGGCTTTAATTTTTTCTTCTTCTTCTTGCTGTATCTCTTCTTTCTCTCCTTTGCATCGTTTTCTATAATTATTTTTTGCTTGCCAGTACTCTTGTTTTATACCTTTCCCCTTTTTCCACCTTCGTAAACATTTCCTTGCTTGTGTTTTTAAATCTCTGCATCTGCTATTCCACCATCTGTTTCTCTTTTCTGAATTTGTCGTTACAATTTCTTTTCGTATGGCTACTTTTTCAATTTCTCTTTTTAATTCTTCCATTTTCTTTCCAGTTCCTTTTTCTTTAAATTCCACTTCCAACATTTTTTTTTATAATGCTCAATTCCTTTTTCATTCTATACCCATATTTTCTTCTCTTTTCCTACTTCATTCTTTAAGCATCCGCTCCCTCTACTTATGCCCCTCACTTTTACTTCTAGTGGCATGTGATCGGAGTCCACTCTTTCTCCTATCTTGAATGTTTCTACCTCTTCTTCTGCTAATCCGTTTACTATTACGTAGTCTATTAGCGATTCCCCTCTTTTACCTATCCAGGTAAATTCCCCCTTCCTTCACCCCATTCAAGACTTCCCAACCTCTTTCTTCAATTAATTCCCATAGCAATTTTCTTTATTTTCCACTTTATCTTTCGATTTTCGTGTGTTTTCCCCGTCTTTTTTCCTGCTTTTGTTCCCTATTCTGGCATTAAAGTCCCCTCCTAACAATAGAAATTCTTCTTCGGACTCTTCGATTTTTTCTTGTATTTCTTGTTTCGTGTTTCTCATTCCTTTACAATATATTGTGCAGATTCTCCATCTTTTTTTATTTACAATCAGTTTTCTTTCAACTAAGCCTTCCATTTCTATTGCCCCCTCTCCTATTTCTTTTATATCTCTCTTCACTCCTGTTATGATTCCACCTTTTGCTCTACCCTTGCGTTTTTCTTTTTTTGCTCCTTGCAATTTCACACTGAAATTCCTTTGGCAACACGTCTTTCAGTTTGTTCCAGTCTCTCTCTAGTATCCATGTTTGTGTTAGTCCCACAAAATCAAAATTTTTCACGTAGTTTCAAAATAAGTTATCTTTCTTTTTCAAACCCTCAATATTCCAAAAGAGTAATTTTAAACCACTTTTATCTTTCCCATTCTTCTTTCCCATTCCCCTATTATGTACAAAATCTACATTCTTAAACCTAAAGTCTTTATTTGTCTCATCATTACTACACCTCCCCTTTGTGTTTCTTTCTTCGGTTAGTGCTGACTTGATTTGAGAAATTTTTCTTCCAATTTTCCTTTATTTTCATTCCATATATACATTTTGTCCCCTACTTCCAGCTTCTTATATCCCACCCTTGTTGTGTATCCTTTTTTCCTTTCCTCTTTAGCTATTTCCCTAATTCCTTTTTGAATTTTTTGCTCTTGTAGTGTCCAATCATTATCAATATATATTCTCTTTCCTCTCAGTTTATTTTTATTCTTCATCACCTCTTGCTTTTCCTCCCAAAGCGTCTTAACCAGTATTTTCTTGCTTTCCTCTTTCCCTATAATTATTGTTTACAACACTTTTACTTCTACCTCAATTTCTTTTTTCAAAAATTCCTCTACTTCTTTTGCATCTGTTCTTTCCCTTATTTCCATACCCGTAATTATGAAGTTATTTCTTCTGTCTTGCCTCTCTTTTTTCCACCTTCTTCTCTAAATTATTGCTTCTTTCTTCGAAGCTTCTCTCCTTTTGTTTCTATTCTTCTCTTTCTCTTTCCAGTATTCCATTCATTGTCTGTAATTCTTTTTTTACCCCTCTATTTTCTTCTCTCAGTTGTTTCATTTCTTCCATTAGTTGCTTCATCATTTCCATCAACGGCTCTTGTCCTTGCTTTTTTGTTCTCTTTCTTCCATTTTCAATGTATTTGCTATCAGCTCTTTCTCGCCAGGCCGCAAAAACGTCACCAATCTTATCACTCTCTATTTATTTGTCTTCAGAATCGGGAACGCTACGCTTTAGACTGGCTCCGTCGAGAATAAATGTTTGAATTCAAGTTGCCAAAACATTATTAAAACTGCAAGAGAATAACTAGATCTGAAACAAACTATCAAACTTGTAAAAAAGTATTAAAGTATTATACTTATTATTTTTTTTACTTCTCGACAATTCATGACACCTAGTGCACCAAAAAATAGGTTTCCTGTTTCCGTCTGTCTGTCTGTTTCTGTACCGACTGTTGTCAAAATTTATGTGTGTTCAAAATATTGTATAGATGGTAAAACGTTTACCAAATTTTGTGTAATTGTTCCCACCAACAATGTGATGACGTCACAATGTTATAAAATCACGTACTCATACACTTGTGATTTATGAATCCGTCTTGATTTTTTACCCTAAACATCGAGATTTCTCTCCAAATCGATAATGACAATTTTATTTAAAAAATCTACATTTGTGGTAGATGAATGCGTTCATATTTGTTCGAAATGCTTATATATGGTGACTAAAAAAATTTATCAATGAGGCAATTTATTTTCCCACCAACAATGTGATGACAAATGTCGTATTTTATTGGAAGTGGCTAAACTACGATAGCCGGAATTTACATTGATTATGAAAATATAGTGAGTTTTTGTAGTACTAGATGTTGAAAACTACTCTTTTGAAAAAAATATGCCGTCATGAAAAAATTCATAATTAAAAAAACACCTCTGCAATCGTTTCTCTGTCATAGTGAACTTTCCTACCTGCGACGAGTACGTCAACCTATTTAGATTAGTGCCTAATAGATTCATTCGCACTCGTGCTAGAGTGTTTACCAGTTGACTTGCGTTTATGTTTCCGTGTGTTATTGTTTTTGCGTTTAAAAAAAAATAAATTTAAAAACCACCCCCTTCTGCAGTGTGCCTGTTACGCTACTGACTGACAGTGCGTTGTCAGATTTTGATGACTCACCATGTTGAACTTAAAATAATCCATCTCTAACAACCTTTGTTCTTCAGCACTAGGTAATAGCAATCCGAAGTGTTTATTTATGTTTATACATCGAAAGAATGTCACGTAGAAATCAGTTTAATTTGAATGAGTTTGTCTTCTCAAAACACAGGACTAAAATTATTATTCAAACCAAAATCGAAAAAAATTTTTAAAAGCTAATAATTTTTTTAATTTGTTATTTTAATTTTGATTAGAGTAAGTTTACTTGTGTTTTGTCATTGTCCTATAATTGGAACCTTGTTCTGCTTGTTCTGTTGGACAATAAACGATATTATTAAAATGTTCTGAATATTATAATCCTTATTTTATCATTATTATATAAATATCTGCATATTATTTTTTTCTGAGAAAATGGAATGAGCCATTCCTGATCTAATCAATAAAATAAATTGACTAAAAAGTATTAATGCAGTGATAAATCACAAGTAAAAATTCATCATATTTTGCAAATTTTGCGTAGAATTTATTTGGCAAAATTTGCGTGCGTTTTACAATCTACATGATATTCCTAATATAAATACAAAATTTGACAACAATCGGCACTGTACTTTCGGGGATTATCCGTCTAATAAAAATCCGGGACGGAAGACAGACGGACAGACGAACAGACGAACAAACGGACAGAGAGTTAGACGGAAACGGGAGATCTATTTCTGCGTACTGTAGGGGTCATGAAAGGTCGAGATAATTACTTACGTCCAGGAAGTACAAATTAAAGTGATATACTGATCTGTAAAATATATGTACTTGATTTAAAATTATGGCCAAAGGTTGACTAAAATTTTTGAAAAATACGACCGTTTTCATTTGGTTTAATACATTTTTAAAAAGAAATTTAATAAATGCGAGATACTACTTTTCCACATTTACTACACAGTGAGATTGTTATGTAAAAATTGACGATTTTAGCTTTTTATTTTTTACTCATTGAAAGAAAATTTATTAAACGTATACTCAGAACGTGATTTTTGTGTTTAAAAGGGCTCAAAAATTGGGTATTTATTGTGCAATACATGTGGTAATTATCATAGATTTAGCGTTCCGTTGGGCGTAGTTTAATAATACAACAATATTTTTTTTACAAAATTTGCCAGAATGATATAGCTTTAGAAAATCCATGCAGACACTAAAAATTCAAATTTTTTTTTTAATAAATTTAATCTGGAAAGACTATGCACTGTGAAGAAATAAATTTGGAAAAAAACTAGAATAAACTATGAATTTATTTCATATAACAAAAAATGTAAGAGAAATTTATGCACTGTTAGTACTCACCGGATAATAATCCAGTTAACGATATTTTAGACAAAAAATCCATTGTTAGTTTTTTACTAAACAGTAACATTTCGTTTAGTTATAACTCCAGTAATAAGCTTTTTGTTCTAAAAGTTTAAAACAAACAAAACTTTCGTCCAGCCAAAAATTGGAACTTTATTTGACACCACACCTTGAATTTTCTCTAAAGAACTCAAACAACACCGTATTTAGGATTCAATTACACATTTATGTTATATTTTTCATTAATTTTCTAGTGCATGTTTTATTAAAACGTTTTAATCTTATTCGTATCACTGACACCATTCTCTCATTTTTAACATCGAAAAGCCCGTAACAAGAATAAAGATATCGTCTCGACAAAAAAATTACAAACAGAATCAGAAATTATACCCTTAAATTTTTTATTAAGCATCGCCTGAAAAAAAATCTCCACCACAATTTCCCCACGTAATACCCAAGAACTCGTTCAGACACCAACTTCCACGCTTTAAGTCTTTGATGAAAAATTAATTTCACGTGGCTCCATCTCATCAAAGAATATCTTAATAAAACATAAACGCACCCTTCTTATAAAAGCGCTTTTAAACTAGTTCAAGCCCTATTAACAAAATGCCCTCGATCATCCAACAAAGTTTTAGTGTGAGTTTACGAGCGATGCGCTTCTTTTTTTTGTACCCTCCAGACAAACATAAAACTTTGTATCGTATATGTACACATGTTATGTATTTTGTGTTCATAGTACCGTTTCCTAGTCTGCAGTTTCTTAATTTAGTTCTCCAAGAAAATCTTGATTTTAGCCAAATCGCCGACAACGTTTTTCTGTTGGCTGAAATAATGTGCTTTTTGCCGAAATTGTATCCTTTTCTGGGCAACAGCGAACGCATTAAAAAGTGCATACATTACTTCGATGGTGCGTTTTTCGAAGTTGTGCGAACCGAGCACGAGGAGATTCTCAAACAGTGTATGAAGATGTGTCGAGGTACCGCAATTCTTTTTTTAGTGGCGGTGACCGGGGCGTATATTAGCTGGTCCACTAGACCCATTTCGTGGAAAAATCACATCTTTCCGGTGGATTTGTGGATGCCTTATGATGTAAAAACCGCCCCAGTGACATATATTGTTGGTACATATTTGTATATTTTGGCAGGTGATTAAGTGTTGGATTGTGTGACTAAAAAATTTAAATTTTTTTTTAGCGGCGGCTTATGGTGCCTACACTAGTGGTGTAATAGACCCGTTGATAGCAGGACTTGCATATCAAGCTACCTCTCAAATAAAAATTCTGAAGCACAAGTTACAATTTCTGAGTGAACATATCATAGACGAAGTTGGAAAAAACACGAAATTGGATGCTAAAGGACTAAACAAATTGATGTATGAGAAAATTCGAAAATGTATCATTCATCACAATCTTATTCTAGAGTAAATGTTTAGTTTGTAGTGTGGTATTTTATTTCAGAGACGTATTTTTTAGGTTTGTTACAGAATACGAACACTGTTTTTCTCAAATGGCCTTTAGCCAGTTTGTAGCAGCCATTATTGTAATTTGTGTTTCCTGTTTGCAGTTAACTTTGGTGAGTATTTACGTAAATTTTAATTTGGATAAAGCATTTAGTATACTTATTATAGGTGGACCTTTTGAGTCTGGATTGTTTAGCGATGGTAATGTACCTTATCACTATGCTGAGCGAAATCTATTTGTATTGTTATTTTGGCACCCTATTATATGAAGAAGTAAGAAATTTACAATCACCATGTTTACTCGTAGTTGTAAACTTTTTTACTTTTTAGAGTAATACCATTACGGATGCCATTTATTTGGGTAAATGGTACGAATATGACGTAAAATGTCGCAAAGCTTTAATTCTTCTAATGGAACGAGCCAAAAAACCCATGCTTGTTAAATGTGGACACAAAATTGTTGACATGTCGTTGGATACTTTCTCAATGGTAAGGCAACTAATAAAATAAATAAAAGTGTTACCACAAGATGTATTTTTCAGATATTGAGAAGATCGTATTCTTTGTTGGCAGTTCTGGAAAGTTTTAACGAATAATTAAACTAATTCTAGGATAGACTTTTTATAATAATATTTGTTGTTTGTGTAGTTGCTTAGGCAAAGCACAATTTTGTGTATAAATAAAATCCCTTTTTGTTAAAATGTGTTGGTGGTACATCGCTACAAAAATCATGTTATACACTTATGAGGAAGTCTTTACAAAGTTGGAAATATATACTATATGGAAATCATTACTATTACTATTACTATTACAATATAAATAAAGATTTAGACTGTTGCAGTCTATAGATCTGTAGAGTTAACAAATATAAATGGTCTTCTATATAAAAATTGAAATTTTCAAATTCATGGCTATATTGGAATGGATTAACTTGGGAATGTCCGATGTAAAAACTAAGAACAGGAGAGGACCCAGAATTGAGCCTTGGAGGACTCTACTTTGGACAGGCCGTATTTGAGAGAAATCTGATCCCACTCTTACTTTAAATGTACGATTGGAAAGGAATGCCCGAATCCAATTTAAAAATTTACTTCTTATACCTGCAGATTGAAGTTTAAAAGAAGACTCTCTTTGGGGACCCGATCAAATGCTTTAGAGAAATCTAAATATGCGATATCCAATGGTTGTTCAGAATCTAAAGCTAGTGTCCAGTAATTGACACCCACTAGCATGTTGGTAATCGTTGAGGGACCAGGTAGAAATCCGTGTTGGCTGTCGGGAATAATTTTTTCGTGTAGTAAAAATGTCAACATTTGTTTATATATAATCGTTTCCAGTACTTTGCATATAATCGATGTTAGACTTATTTGCTGTCGGGACCTGGGGCGCTTTGTCGTCTAGCTATTTCTTTTAGAGGTTCTTTTATCGACAAGGAATTTCTGATTGAAACGATTGTCTTTAAAAATGGTCCATAAGTTTCCAGGCTATAGTTGGAGTGGAATTTTACAGCAAGGAGATCCGCTGTTTCTTTGTTGGATATACAAAGGTTGCCGTCGGGTTTTCTTAGTAATGGAATACTAGCTTTGGTTGAGAGTGATGACTAGAGAGCGGATTTTATGAAATTTGCATATTCGTTATTTTTTGCATATAAGTCTTAATATTTAATATGTGAACGAATCATGCTAATTAAAAATGAATACAGCTATAAAAAAATGCATATTTGCATATATTTGCCTTCTGCTGCATATTTCACGTAACGGCTGCATATTTTGCATTTTTATCAATTTTTGCGCTAATTTGAAAAAAAATGATTGTCATTCTATCGGCATTTATCTAGAAAGACGAAATTTCATTAATCATATTGCAAATATTGTCCTGAGCTTCAAATAACTAGGGAAGGTTTGGATTTTATGGTAGTTTGGAGAAACCACAGGGTGTTAAGGCATCCTTCCAAGTAAATGTCGCCCTAATTACTTTTGGAAATACGTTCATTCCCAATATTTTTGTTCGTTACTTCAGTGTGTTAATGGTATGTTTTGTGGTGGTCGAAGGAACGTTATCCTATTATTTTTCATCGTGAGTTTGCATTAAAAGCATTTAAAGTGATAGAGGTGTGTTAAGATGTCGAAAATAACTCAAAATAATTTAAGGATTAAACTTTTTCCAGAACTTATTCTTCAAGAAGGAACTGTGTTTTGTCGCGCCTGCTTTAAACCGCTAAGTATTTTTATATCTGTGGACGTAGTACTCAGTTTTTCTATTTACAAATACATACTTTAGAATCACCGGAAAAACTTTTTGTTAGAATATTTCGAAAAATATTTAAAACTAAATTGTTACCAAAATAGTAATTAAATAGTCAATTACTACTATTTTTTAATTTGTTCTATTTATATTTATTTTTTAGTATAAAAATATTATCATTAAAAATGTGATTTATGTGTTAGTGAGATGTAATTGAACACCTTGCAATGTGATTTATGTATTTTTTGCAATAAAACGTAAGCTGTTTTTGTAATTTATAAATAAATTTAGTACGCTTATTAAGCTTTTTTTTATTTTTTCTAGCATATGCAACTGCATATCTCTGCATATATTAAGAAAGTTACTGCATATTTGCATAAATTTGGTGCATATCATATGATCATATTTCCCAAAATTTTGCTGCATATTTTCCGCTCTCTAGTGATGACCTTTTGTACTTGTAGAATTTCTTGGAAGATTCTGATTTTGCTAAATTGTCTTCGAACATTTTTTTTTATTTTTTCAGCTCTGAAATGACGTGGTTAGAAAATCTGTGATCGAGATATTTGTTTTCTGATGGATTTCTTTTACATACTTCCCAAATACGCTTTTTCTGTTTGATTAGCTTGAGTAAATTGTAATTTATCCAAGGTTTCTGCGGGAGGATTTTAATTTCCGTAGTACAAGTATGTTTTTTGTCGTAGTTTGTGTGATTAATTCTTTTGATGAACGCATTTTTTGCTTGCGTGACATGGTTTTGAGCTTGTATGCAATTGTGAGGTGATCTGATTTTCCTAATGGCGGTAAGTATTCTATGTTTGTCAGTAAATGTAAATCGTTTGTAAAAATTAAATCCGTTTGAGAAGGGGCTTGATTTTGTCGAATTCTCGTTGGCTTCGTGAATAATTGGTTTAAGTTCGTTTCCAGAATAGAGTCCAAAGAGACCGAATTTAAATCAAAGTTTTCGCGTTGAAATTAATTAACAGCGGCTCGAAATCACATTTGAATAGTTTGAATTTGAAAAAAAAAATTCAATCACAAAAAGGAAATCGTTAAACATAGGCAACCGTGTACACGGAAATGCTTGCTTGGAAATGCGGACTTCCGGCCGACGCAAAACACCTGCTGTAAATTGGTTTCATTGTTTGTAAATTCACCAATCAAGTTAGTTTTTCTTAATAGTCAGTTAGTGCAAACACAATTTAACAATAAGGATTATTTAAATAAACCACTTGCTAGAAGATTTAATGAAATTCACTTAGTCAGGAAAAACACCTTAGGTTTAATTACGAGTAGGTCTCTGGATGCATATACGTAAGTGTTACATTATAACACTTCTAGATTCTTCACACAAGATTGCTAATAGTTCATTTACGGCAGTTAAACAAGATCATTATACTGCGAACTGGCGGGAGGGGTTTAAAATGTTTTTTTTTCCCTTAGGCGGTTATCATCGTTATCCTGATTAATTCATCGGGGCATGCCTCACAACGCCACAGATTGATTAATTCATCAGGGCATGCCATCACAACGCTACAGATTGATTAGTTTATCAAGGCATGCCCTCCCAACGTTACAAATTAATTACATCACCGAGACGCTTTTTCCTCGCAACGATTTTAAAATTTACATCACCGAGACGCTTTTTCCCTCGGAGAGATGATTGGATATTTTTGTGTTTGTTTATTATGTGTTTTGTTGGGGTAACCAGTTCGCGGTATTTTAAACTCTCAAAGTAAATTGTTTTTTTGAAGTAACCAATCACTTAGATCATGATATAATTTGACATAATGGAAACTCTTTGTTTGATTCATTGATAAAGTGTGGCGATTATTAATCTCCTGTAAATTTTGTTTACTCTGCAATTTTCCACCTCATACCATATTTCTTAATCTCACAATCTTAACCTCAGTAATTTTATTTGTTGTATAATTTTAATGGAACGTAAATTTCATGTTCGACAGTTTTAACCTCACATAATATTTCTATTTGTACAAGTTTATTTCACACCACATCTTTTGTTTCATAAATCCTTGCTAAGTTTTGTTTTGTAAATACTTTGTTGATGAATGTTTCTATCATATAAATTATTTGATGTCCAAATTTAATCTCACTTAAGAATTATTTGTTGTTCAAAATTTCACAAGGTTGTATGGCGAATCTAAATGTTGTTTATTGCTCTTTGAAACTTTAACACTTGTTCAGTTGTTGTTAATATCAGAGTTATAAGAGATTGAATATTTAAAAATGGAATTGAAGTTAAATGACACAGAAAACGTGGCAGAAGCGAAGTTCGGTTCCTAGTCGAGCTGGCGAGATTTATCGTGTCACCTGTACGGCCGCCGATGTTGTAAAGTTCTAGGCTTCGTGCTAGCCTAGATCCTCTTGCGGGTCGGACGACCATAATGGCCTAGTTCCGAAGAGCACGTTCGTAATGGAGATATGCGTGTGGGGTAGGCTTTGTGATAGATAGAATCACCGTCGTGGGGGGAGAACAGCCCCAGACCTGTAGCCCCAAACTCCGCTTATGCTACAACGCCCCAGAGGTACTTTTGTACTTTGTAAAATAAAGGAGGCTGTTGTTGTAACAATGTTTTTCATCATTTGATTATAAGTTTGGCAATTAATAAACGTTTTGACGCGAAAACAATTCCGTTAACTCTTACAAACGTCTCTCAAATTGTGGCTCTGTTTCTGTTATTTTGTTAAATTAAATTTATTTCTGCGTTTATTTGTCTTCTTTTTTTTGTTAATTTATATATCATGTGTCAATTGTGAATGGTTTTTTAATAAAATAACGATCAATAGTTAAATTAATAATCTTTAAAGTTTGGTTTTGCGAAATTTTTCAGGATAGGCTGTATTTTTTTTGCCGGTCAGTGTATTAATGAGTTCTTGAAAACTTTTGTCTGGGTCAGAATATTTATTTGTAATGACGTTCCAATCAACTAGCTCCAGGGATTGGTAAAGACAGAATTTTCCAATTTGACAGGGGCCAAATTCCTCGATATTATTGTATATTTGTGGAAGCATTGTCCAGACAATTTGCCCCTCTAGTGTTAAAATTGACAATGGGTTTAAGACCTCCTCTTGGGAAGTAAGATTTTACAGAATATCGTTCAACGGATACAACGTTGCAATTTTGATCTTCAAGAAAGTTTCCAGTTCTTCAGTTTTATTTCTCAAGGACTGAACACTTTGGTACAAGATATCAATACTTTTTTTTCAGGGACAAAATCTCTGTTTTTATTCGCTATGTAATTTACATACGCTTTTCTGAAAAAGTATTGTTTTCGTTAAATCATTATGGCCACCTTGTTTGCTAATGGATTGTTGCTTTGGAAAATAATATTTTTTTAAATTGGCCATGAAGCCGTGCTGTTTTTACTTTTAAGACTCAGTTTTACAACTTCAGATTCACATACCTTCTTGACATGGTTTGAACATCTCCTTTACGAATTACAAAATGTCGCCTTTTGTTTCTATTACAACGAATTTCAGTGAAAACTTTATCTTCCTTAGGTTTGTCATCGATATATGCAATGTTTTTAACTTTAGTCGTCTTTGTCGGTTCTTTACCGGGAAGATCGATGATCGACTTCATTAGTTTATTCCAAATTTACCTGCAATCATCAGTTTGCCATTAATTTTTAAATTTTCTAAATTTAAACCGTTAATTTTTTCTTTTGAACAATAAATTTCGACTTCTTGCTGTTTCAATAAATTTTGGTAGTATACTAAACTCATTTGACATACACCTAGTAAAACTTTTGACTTAAACGGCTTAAACCAAACGACCCTTATAAGTCAAACTGGCTATTGTAAGCTTTATGGACCCGAATCGCAGCTGCTATTACTGTCCATTATTGCCATAATGTAGCTTGTCAAGTTTTACTAGGTGTATGTCAACTGACTTTAGTTTACTCTAAACACTCGATTTACGCTAATAATTGTTATTCGGTGGATACTAAATTTTTAAACTTGATCTTTCTTTCATTAATTCATTTTTCTGGATTGATAATTTTAAATGGAGCTTTATGTTTAAAATCTTGAGCTTCAAAATATTTAGGTACAGTGTTCTCTTTTTACTTTGAGTGGTTTAAATTCATGCTATTTTTCTTCTGGGGTACTTTAAGGAACGAGGTTTACAGCATCGAGATTGACAATTTAGAGGGTATACGTAACCACATTGAAGTTACTGTGGAAAGAGCTCGAAACATCTCTAAAATTTCTGAAAATTTCGGAATTCTTTTATTCATCCATCGGAAGCCTGTACTCACCTCTTTTTTTAAAATTAATACTTAAAAAAAATGTTGAAGATTAAAGAAGCCCTGGTTAAATTGTTTTCTCAGTTCCTCTAGAATTTAATTTCTTTTATCTATTGTACAGTGCGCTAAGGCAAATAAACATTTACAAAGCAAAACAGTTGTAAAAACCCTGTTATTTGTTTATTGAAGGGCAAGCTAGTGTGCTATTTTATTAAAAAAAAACTGAACAAGTCATAGTGACATGAAAGGCTTATTCCCATTGCTTTTTATTCATTTATGAGAACCTGATTTTCTCATTTTTTCCAGTTTTAATAATATCCGAGTTCCTCATTGTTGAATTTGGAATTTTTTTGAGATAGTAGTAAATGTAATGGGGCACTGTCCATGATTATCACAACTGTTTCATATACTATTTTTCGGATAGTGTCGCTGCCATGTCTTGATGTTGATCAAGGTTACATTGTTTTATTTATTTTGCCAATATAAGCAAATTTTGTATTTTTACCTCTAATGAGAGATCTGGGAAGCCATTTTGACGTGATTTGCTAAACGTTGCCCAAATATATAACAGCTGCATCTTTAGGATCTCTGTTTAAACAGTAAAGAAAGTCATAAAACACTTATGTTTTTTCTTATATTTAAAAAAATTGTTTTGCATAAAAAGAAAACAAAAAAGTGAAATAAGTCAATAAACTTGATGCGAAAATGCGAACTTTTATTTAAATAGTGTGATTTGACATGAGAAATACACACCTTATTTGGTTTGATAATACGGTAGATATGTATTAATTTTGTGTAAAAAATGTTTCTTCTTATACAGGAATGCACAAAATTTTTGACATGTCAAAAAAAAAATTACGTCAAATTTGTAAAAGTAAAATTTTTTTGACATATTTCAAAAGATGGAGAGTAAAATAAAAAGCTTGACTTATTTTTCCACTTTTTTCAAAAACAAATGCTGCGCTTTTTATTAAATTTGTTCTTTACTTTATCACAAGAAATTTGTACATCTTTTGCACTTACCTTAGATTTATAATGCTGCAGTTAACGTTATCTTAATGTTTCTTCTGTCAAATATTTCTTTATAAATCTTCCGATTTGCACTAAAAAATATAGATATGATAGTGACGTTTTATTCAAACAACACAGTTATATTTATTTTTCTTTTATTTTCTAATATTTTAATGTACGGTTCATAAACAACATTTACTTATTTTTGATACCGAAGAGCTTGTGACAAGAGCAAAGTTGTCGTTTCGGCTAAAAATTAAAACGCCGAACAAACAGAATCCGAAATTACGTCCTTAAATTTTTTATTAAGGGTCGCAGAGAAAAAATCTTCCCACTATAATTTCCCCACGTAATACTCAAGAACTTCGCCGCACAATTTAATTTTAGCTTTTAAGCCTTTGATGAAAAATTAATTTCATGTGGATCCACCTAATCAAAGAATAACTTAATAAAACATAAATCGACCACTCTTATAAAACAGTCGTTAAAATTAGTTCGAGCTTTATTAACAAAATGCCCTCAGTCATACACCAAAGTTTCCACGTCAATTTAAAAGCAATGCGCTTCTTTTTTCTGTATCCTCCAGACAAATATAAAACTTTATATCGCATACATACGTACATTATGTACTTTGTACTTGTTGTACCCATACCCATTCTGGAGTGTCTTTTCTTGTTTCTCCAGGAAAATCTTCGTTTTGCCCAGTTCGCCGACAGCGTGTTTCTCCTGGCAGAATTAGTGTGTTTCGTGCTAAAATTGTATCCGTTTTTGAATAACAGCGAACGCATTAAAAAATGCATACATTATTTCGATTCTGCGGTTTTCGAAGTTGTAAGAAGCGAACATGAGGAGATTCTTAAAGAGTGTGTTAAAATGTGTCGACGAACATCAGCGCTTTTTTTGGCTGCAGTTACCGGAGGATTTATTAGTTGGTCCAGTCGACCCATTTCTTGGAAAAATCACGTTTTTCCGACTGATTTGTGGCTGCCTTTTGATGTAAAGACAGCCCCAAGGTCTTATATTTCTTGTACATATGTGTACATTGTTATGGGTGACTAAATACCAACGTGTGGGTTGAAAATTTTACATGTGTTTTATTGCAGGGGTGGGATATGGTGCGTATACTAGTGCAGCAATAGATCCTTTAATAGCAGGACTTGCATATCAGGCTACATGTCAGATAAAAATTCTAAAGAACAATTTACAATTTCTTAAGGAACAAGTAAAAGACGAATTTGGAAAAACTACGAATTTGGATAGTGCACGTGAGAATGAGTTGGTGTACGAGAAAATTCGAAAATGTGTTATTCATCACAATCTTATACTAGAGTAAATATTTAGTGTGTAGTGTGTTATTTTAATTTTGATTTATATTTTTCAGATTTGTTAAAGAATACGAACACTGTTTTTCGCAAATTGCTCTCAGTCAGTTTGTAGCAGGCGTCGTCGTACTTTGTCTTTCATGTTTGCAGCTAACTTTGGTAAGTGTGAACGTGCCTTAATTAATTTTCAGGAATTTTTGTTTTTTTAAGACATGTAAATTTCGTTTTGCAGGTGGATCTTGTCAGTTTTGATTTTTTAGCGATGGTAATGTATCTTATTGCCATGTTAAGCGAAAGTTATTTGTATTGTTATTTTGGAACCGTATTATATGAAGAAGTATGAATATTAGAATCGCGATATTTCGTTATTATTTTTTTATTTTTTAGAGTAATACCATTATCGATGCCATTTATTTGGGTAAATGGTACGAATACGACGTAAGATGTCGTAAGGCGTTGATTCTTCTAATGGAACGAGCTAAAAGACCTATGATCGTTACGTGTGGGAAAATTGTTGACATGTCTTTGGATACTTTCACATTGGTAAAGCACTTAAATAAGACAATTAAAATGTTATAAAAAGATGTATTTTTTAGATATTAAGGAGGTCGTATTCTTTGTTGGCAGTGCTAGAAAATTATAATATAGAACTAAACTGAGCAATTTATTGTCATAAATTAAAATATGTATATATGGTATTTATACACATAGAATGTAGTCTCCGCAATGCACAATGGGATAAATGAAATAAAAATAACTATTTGTTGGAAAAATATTATTGTTTAATGAATTTTTCAAATCTATGGTATTTCAAAGAACACAAGAAAGAGTGGCAAAACTTTTAATTTTGAAACCTTATCCTTCGAGTTTATTGCCAGTTGCTTATTTTCTAGTTTACGTTTATTTTTTCAAAAAATGAAATTTATATACGCAAATTTTATAATTTTATAACAATCCCGGGAGTGATTTTCGACTTCATTTCTTCGAAAAATCTATCCAAAATAACGCGAGAATTTTGTATCAATTTTTAAACGACTTCGCCAAAAGATCAAGTTTTCAGTATATCAAATATATGAAATTTTTGACATTTTCCTGAGCACCTTCGAAAATTATTTAAAGAGGTTCTTTTGTTGTTTTTGATTTGTGAAGTGTTTTCGGTTTCCTAATTTTTTAAAATCGTAAAAATGAAATAGGGTAATTTTTGGGATATGTCAAAAATTCGACTTTGAGACCCAATATTCCGGAAATCTTGGTCCCGAGCCATCAGGAGGCATTTTCGGAAATTATTTAAAGAGTTTTTTGTGTTGATATCTACTTTCGGGAGTTTTTTTGGTTTTATTTCTCCTAAAATTTTGATCATTTTTCAGGAATTGCCGAAATTTTTCAAAATTTTGCTGATATTGAGTATTTTGAAATGTTTTTCGATTCAGCTGGTCTATAGATCCTTGAATTTTTTGTGAATTTTTGAAACAACTTCGCCAAAGCTCAATTTTTCAATATATTAGATATATGAAATTTTTAACATTTTCCTGGGCACTTTCGGAAATTATTTAAAGATTTTCGTTTGTTGATATCGAGAGCCGAGAGTGTTTTTCGGCTTTATTTTCTCGAAAATTCTTGCCACCTTCCCGGGATCACCAAAAGACTCATGATCATTTTGTGTTTTGAAAATCTTGACCAACGGCCTTCTTTCATGGATTCAACTTGTCTATATCATTAAATTTTTTGTGAGTATTTAAGCAACTTATTTAAAAGCTCAATTTTTCAATGTATGGGTTGCATAAAATTTTTCACACTTTCGTAAATTATATAAAGTTTTTCTTGCTGATATCGACTTCGGAGAATGTTTTTCGGCTTTATTCCTTCAAAAATTTTTGCCACTTTGCCAGAATCGCCAAAATGGCACATGATGATCATTGGGATATTTTCAAAATTTAACTGAAACTGAATACTTCGAAAAACTTAGACCTAGACCATCAACAATTTATGTTTTTGATTCACTTTGTCTATTCTCAGAATTTTGTGTGAATTTTTAAGCGACTTCGGCAAAAGCTGGATTTGCCAATATATGAGTTGTATCAAATTTTTGACATTTTTCTTAGCACTTTCCAAAATTATTTAAAGAGCTTCTTTTGCTGATATCGATCTCCGAGAGTGTTTTTTGGCTTTATTTCTTCGGAAATTTGTGCCACTTTTCCGGAGCGTCAAACGACACATTAAAAATTTTGAGATGTTTTCAAAATTTTATTAAAACTGAATATTTCGCAAATCCTGGCCAGAGAGCATCAACAGATTATGTTTTTGATTCATTTTGTTTATATTTCAGAATTTTGTGTGAATTTTTAAGCAACTTCAACAAAAGTTTAATTTTTTAGTATAGGAAATGCATGTCAAAAATTTGACATTTTCGTAAGCATTTTCGAAAATTATTTAAAGATTTTATTTTGTTGGTGATTTTGATTTTGGGAAGTGTTTTTGGCTTCCCAGTTTTTTAGAATCGTCAAAATGAAAAACAACGATTTTTGGGATACGTCAAAAATTCGACTTTGAGACCCAATATTTCGAAAATCTTGGTCCGGAACCATCAAGATGCTATTCGATTCCATTTGTTGAGGTCCTAGAGTTTTTTGTAGATTTTTAGGCAACTTCGCCAAAAGTTTAATTTTTCAAGAACTTGAAATTTTCAACCACTTTTCAACATTTTTCCGGAATCAACAAAATAATACCTGGTAATTATATATTAAGATTTTTCGAAATTTTACTGAAACTGAAAATTTCGAAAATCTTGGTCCGAGAACTTCAACAGACAATTGAATTTTTGAATTTTTAAGCAACTTCGGCAAACGTTCGATTTCTCAATATATGAGATGTATGAAATTTTTCTCAGCACTTTCGAAAATTATCTAAAGAGTTTCTTTTGCTGTCGACTTCCGACACATTATAATTATCAGGATATTTTCAAAATTTGACTGAAACTGAATATTTAAAAAATCTTGATCCGAGAGCATCAACACGACATGTTTTTGATTCATTTTGTTTATATCTCAAAATTTTGTCTGAATTTTTAAGCAAATTCGCCATAAGAACAATTTTTCAAGAGCTTGAAATTTTCAGTAATTTTCCGAGCATTTTCGGAAATTATTTAAACAGTTTATGTGGTGATGTGGACTTCTGGAAGTGTTTTTCAGCTTCACTTCTTCGAAAATTCCAATCATTTTGCAGGCATTTCCAAAATGGCACATAATAATTGGGATATTTTCAAAATTTGACTCAAACTGAATATTTCGAGAAATTTGACCCGAGCCCATCAACATGTTATGTTTTTCGATTCATTTTGTCTGTGTCTTAGAATTTTGTGTGAATTTTTAAACAACTTCGCCAAAAGCTCAATTTTTTAACGTATGAAATGCAAGAAATTTTTGACATTTTTGAACACCTTCGAAGATTATTTAAAGATTTTCTCTTGTTGATTTCGATCTTATAACGTGTTTAGGGTTTTTCAGTTATTTAGAATCGTCAAAATGAAATACAGGAAGTTTTGGAATATGTCGAAAATTCGATTTTGAGACACAATTTTCGAAAATCTTCGTCCCGAACCATCAAGAGGTCATGTTTTTCGATTCAATTTGTAGAGATCCTAGAATGTTTTTGTGAATTTTTAGGTAAATTTGCCAAAAGCTCAATTTTTCAAGAACTTGCAATTTTCAGTAATTTCCGGAGCATTTTAGGAAATTATTTAAAGAGTTACTTGTGTTGATGTGGACTTCTGGAGTATTTTTCGTCTTCATTTCTTCGAAAATTCCAGTCATTATCTAAGAAATTATTCGGATTTTTCAAAATATTTTTGATACTGAAAATTTTGAAAATTTTGGTCCGAGACCATCACAAACCATGTTTTTCGATTCAGCTGGTCTATATCCTTGAATTTTTTGTGAATTATTGAACAACTTTGCTAAAGGCTTAGTGTGTCAATATACGAGATGGAGGAAATTTTTGGCGTTTTTCTGAGAACTTTCGAAAATTATTTAAATAGTTCTTCTTGTTCATATCAACATCCGAGAGTGTTTTTCGGCTTTACTTTTTCGAAAATTCTTGCCACTTTACCAGGATCACCAGAATGACTCATGATAATTTTTGGAATATTTTCAAAATTTGGCTGAAACTGAATATTTTGAAAGTGTTGGCTCGAGACTAACAACACGCCATGTTTTATCGATTCAGCTTCTCTATATGCCTGAATTTTTTTTGAATTTTTGAAGCAACTTCCCGAAAGCTCAGTTTTTCATTATATGTGTTGTAGGAAATTTTTGACATTTTCCTGAGCACTTTCGAAAATTATTTAAAGAGGTTCTTTTGTTGTGAAGTGTTTTTCGGTTTTATAATTTTAGGAATCGTTGAAATGAAATACAGCATTTTTGGGATATGTAAAAAATTCGACTCTGAGGACCCAATTATTCGGAAATTTTGGTTCAATTTCTTGAGATCCCAGAATGTTTCTGTGGATTTTTAGGTAATTTCTTCAAAAGCTCAAGAACTTGAAATTTTCGACCATTTCTCAGGCATTTTTGGAAATTATTTAAAGAGTTTCTTGTGTTGCAATCGACTTTCAGTAGTATTTTTTGTCTTCATTTCTTCTAAAATTTAAATTATTTTTCAATAATCGCCGAAATGACAAGTGGTAATTATAGGGATTTTTCAAAATTGCTGATATTGAGTATTTCGAAAATTTTGGCCCTACACCATCAACGGGCCATATTTTTCGATTCAACTGGTCTATATCCCTAAAATTTTTGTGAATTTTTAAGAAGGTTATCCAAAAGCTCAATTTTTCAATGTATGAGATGTATGAAATTGTTGGCATTTTTCTGAATAATTTCCAAAATTGTTTAAAGAGTTTCTTTTGTTGATTATTTTTTGGAAAATTTTTGCCATTTTCCCAGGGTCAACAAAAGGCTCATAATAATATTTGGGAACAACTTTGCTAAAGGGTAAAATTTTCAATATATGAGATGTATGAAATTTTTGACCTTTTCCTGAACACTTTCTAAAATTATTTAAAGAGTTTCTTTTGTTGATGTGGACATCTGGGAGTGTTTTTCGGCTTTATTTTTGCGAAAATTCTTGCCACTTTCCCAGGATCACTAAAATGACTAATGATAATTTGAAATATTTCCAAAATTTGACTGAAACTGAATATTTTGAAAATCTGGGCCCGAGACCATCAACAGGCCATGTTTTATGGATTCAGCTTGTCGATATCCCAAAATTTTTATGAATTTTCGTAACAACTTCGCTAAAGGCTTAATTTTTCAATATTACTGAGCGCTTTCGAAAATTATTTGAAGAATTTCTTTTATTGATTTCGACATTTGAGTGTTTTTTGGCTTTATTTTAGCGAAAATTCTTTTAACCTTCCTAAGGTCACCAAAACAACTCATGATAATTTTTGGGATATTTTCAAAATTTAACTGAAACGGAATATACTGAAAAACTTGTCCCGAGACTATCAACGGGCGATGTTTTGTTCATTTAGCTTGTCTATATAACTGAATTTTTTGTGAATTTTTGAAGAAACTTCGCCAATGGCTCAATTTTTAAATATACAAATGTATTAAATTTTTGACTTTTCCTGAATATTTTCGAAAATTATTTAAAGAGT